CTTGCCTTCCATAATTCATTAATGCATACCTTATTTAACAAGTGCCCCGTGTCGACTTTCAAGTTGAATGAAGTTGGAGTAATTTACAATCTAGTTTACACCGGTACTGAAACTGTGGTAAAGTCCCTGAGTGTGTTTTACCACTAGAATTAGTTCACCTCGCACGTAGCAAAAGTATTCCTCGCCCGAACGAACTGCGAACTTTGAAAATCATTTTCCATTGCAGTTATTCCATTTGTTTATTCTGATAAATATTTTTTTCACATTAATTCATAAAAAAGAGATACTCCTCGAATTTGTAAAACTTTAAAATAGTTATTGTTAAAATAAAAAATACAAATTCTATTTTTCAAAATTGATTATTTTTCAAAATCGAAGTCAGCGAGTTAGAGGAAGAAATTCATTTGAAAAAATTGAATGTTCGGAGGAATAAATAAATAAATAATGTAAATATTCCAAGAGTAATTGCAAAATCAGTTGCTCTAGAGGGAGACCTCAGAAAAAAAACACATCTTTCATTGTTTATAAAATTTTTTTCAAATTACAAAATTTGCAAATACCCTCGAGTCGACAGTGAAAAATCGGTAAAAATGGGAAAAATTGTGAGAATGAAAAAGATTGAATCATGATTGAACAAGAACGTCCACAAGATTGTTGAGATTCCGTTGGCGAGATGGTCTGAGATGCCCGAGAGTATTTGAGCATTTGGCCGAGTTCCAGTGCCTGTGCATCGAGATAAGGAAAATTCACCCTGAAAATTCACGTCTAGAGTTTTCCCGGAATTTTTCAAACCGAGGAAAAAGTTTAGCACAAAAGGCCACCGGTTACCCGAGACCAACCGAAATAAAAATACGCGGAGATAAACTTTTACCCATGAATTTTGCGCATTTCATTGTAAATTTGACGAGATCTGGTTGTAATAATGCATTCATCACATTCAATAAAGGTTACACCAAATGGTTTCTTTGGCATCGGAGTTACTTTGGCAATTTTCCTCGGATTTTCACGGTTATGTTTCCACTGCGAATCGCAGTTCAATACAAATTTTCACTGCAAATCGCGATTTATAAGAACCCATCATTCAATTCGCCACTAGATCAGCGGCAGAAAGAAGTTCCCATGACAGGAAACTAAAGTTTATAAACATAAATCTACTGGCAATGCAATTTATTAAATTGCCAAACATTTTACAGTTGAAAAATAAAAATTAATGCATACAAAATGTAATAGAAGCGCGAGAATACCGAGGGTTCAATTACTGTACCGTGATTTATCTAAAAAACGCGTGGTTTTTGAAAAAACATTATTTCACCTTTTTTGTAGGTCTTCAAATTTCCCATAAAAAGTTTCTTTTGACTTTCTCTCTACAACTATTTTCCACCGAGATATTTATTATTGAAACAGTTAGAAAAAATGGGTTGCTCAAGACATTTTCATAGTGCGCGATTCCACTCATGAGTTCAATAATTTTCAAAAAATTTATGAAAATCCGATAAATTCTGGTAAATATCTCCTCAAATAGAAAATCCATTATTCAAGCTAAACAAATAAATAAATAAATGTAGAATATGCCAATTAATTCTGGAGAAAAGTTTTCCTCACCTCGATTTAAGGAATGAAAAAAAATTCGTTTCGCGCTTGAAGAATTTCGATCGATCTCGGCGTGAATTTTCCTCGGGAAATGAATTTAACTCAGTTGGAAAAATTCACGTGAAATCACCAATCATTCACACCCAAGAAGGCAAATCCTCACTGCAGTTCGATATTCCCATCGGTTTATCATTCATGCCCTAAAAATATGCAGATCGATTTTCCCCGGCTCGAGAACTTCGGGTGTACTGACATTTTATTCCTAACTCTTCCGGTTTTCGTTTCCTGTCTTCCTCAAGTACCCGGAGGAGACACTTCTTCAGTGTTTGAGGAGTTCGGTGAACCCATCCTGGATGACAACCCCGCATTTTTCCTCGAGTTGTGTTTATTGGATGAGGGAATGAGAATTTATGGGGAGGGCTTTGTGCTCGAGGGCTATCTTGATTCATCGGTTATTTTTATTGGCTTTTTTATCTCTGACATTTAACGTTTTTTCCTAGGCAATTCACAGAATTACCCAACCACCAGCCACGATAAATATTATTTACGAATGTTTAAAATTGACCAGAAATTTTTTATATTTTTTAATCTGCTGTGCACTAGAATAATCTAAATTGATAAAAAAAAATTTATAGATTCCAAAAAATCACGCGTCAATTTAAAAAATGGCATTTTGTAAAAAAAATATATATATGGGGTGGACGCCTAGATGTTTGTAAAAAATTTGGACGAACCCTTGAATGCGGACACGGACTGAATAATCAAATAAGCTAATCAATATTGAGGGTATGGCAAATGGTAATCGCAGGTTCGAAGCCCAACAAAGACCTTCTAATAATTCATAGAATCGAAGAGAGGTGGGCAAGTGAATTTCAGTTCATCGAACCTCGTCTCCTTGATTTAATGACAAGCCAAGGGCTCCGACCCAAATTAGTAAGTCTTCTTCACTAATTCAACGACCAAGTTTACCGACCCAAATATCTACGCAAGTCAGTTGTAAAAATAAAAGTCAAACTGGAAAAAATCTATTGAGCGTGTTAAGACTTAATACTCCAAAGCCCATTATCAAGTTAAACATAAAA